AACCCCTGAACTCAGGTGATCCACCTGCCTCTGCCTCCCAAAGAGCTAGGATTACAGGTGTGAGCCACCAGGCCCAGCCAAATATTATTGAGATTTTAAAATCAAAAGCTATACTTAATATATTCCATGAAAAATGACTTTGGAGCAAAGACCTAAAAAGGAAATTTTTTTTTTTTTTTTGAAATGGAGTCTCACTCTGTAGCCCAGGCTGGAGTGCAGTGGCATGATCTCAGCTCACCGCAACCTCTACCTCCTGGGTTCAAGTGAGTATCTTGCCTCAGCCTCCTGAGTAACTGGGACTACAGGCATGTGCCACCACACCTGGCTAATTTTTGTATTTTTAGTGGAGATGGGGTTTCACCATGTTGGCCAGGCTGGTCTCGAACCCCCCCTGAATTCAGGTGATCCACCTGCCTCGGCCTCCCAAGTACTAGAATTACAGGTGTGAGCCACTGCGCCAGGCCCTAGAAGAGAAATTCATACCTAAGGATTTTTTAGTACCCAAACTGAAACTCAATATATTCAGCAGCAAATCTCAAGTAGAGATTTATATAAAGTATACCTAATAACATCTTACTACACACGTCAGTAAGCAATAAAGCCTTCTGCAAAAGACAGTAAGGCAGAAAATGGGAATGTAACCCCTTTACAAACCGGGCTTCCACTAAAAAGTCTTTCCAGGACTTAATGTGGAACTCTTTCCTAAACAGAGAATCTTGAACACAGTGCTTTAAGAGTCCATTTTGTGCGCCAGGCACAGTGGCTCACGCCTGTAATTCCAGCACTTTGGGAGGCTGAGGCGGGTGGATCACCTAGCTCAGGAGTTCAAGACCAGCCTGGCCAACATGGTGAAACCCCGTCTGTACTAAAAATACAAAAATTAGCCAGGCGTGGTGGCAGGCACCTGTAATCCCAGCTACTCGGGAGGCTGAGGCAGGAGAATCGCCTGAACCCAGGAGGTGGAGGCTGCAGTGAGCCGAGATCACACCATTGCACTCCAGCCTGGGGACAAGAGCGAGACTTCATCTCACAAAAAAAAAAGAGTCCATTTTGTGTTCCTATGTTATTTGTACAATGTTTCCATTTTCTCTTATGGGCATGTTTCAAATTGTCCTTTTCCACTGTCAATCTCTAGTAAACCACTCTGGGATCACTTAGTATACACAGAATAGGCAGCACATGGAGTCTGGGTCTGAGGAATACTTGAGCCAAGTGTGTGCGTTGTTCAAAGACTTTCTTTGTACAAATGCTAATTTCCTGCCCTGTTCCAGATAGCTGAAACTGGGGGGAAAAAAAATCTAGAAACGTTACCGTACCCTGATTTCCCAACAGCTTTAGCATATTCTCTAAGGTTAAGTGCATATCCATGCACATAAAGAAAACTGCTAGGACTTCAAACATTCTGTGTTGAGTTCGTGGCTTACTTTTTCAGAATGTTTTCTCCAGAAAGAACTTTTTAAATTTCTACAAATTTTTGTTTGAGGATACAGTCAATATTTTTTCCTACTGATTTTAACTTCTTTCGGCCTCAAACCTTTGCAAACTTGACATTATTTTAAATATTCATTATGATATTAAAGAAAAAAGTAAGGTATGTCACCATGTAATACTGGTTGCAATAGACAGTGCATCAGTCATGTTGATTTATAAAGACAAAACAGTATGTGACTCTTAGGTACTTGGGAACAACTTTAGAGTGATGGCAATGTGTTCCGCCCCTTGTAGACATCATGAAGCATATAAACTTCAGTAGAAAGTTCATTTAAATGCTGTTAAAAGTACAAGTATTTTGAATTGGAAATATACCACTCATTGACACTGTTGCCTAGCAGCAGTCATAATTATTTCTCACCAAAGGCATAAATGTATACACATACATATTACAAATAACACATGCAAACATCCACATCTATAAGGGGTGCTTCTACAGGCCTTATGCTATATTATGTATGTACAGATGTAAATAAATATAATTATTCTCTAGAATAGAAGCAAATTATGTTTCCAGTATTGTCTAATCACACAAAGAAGACAGAACTTTGTATTATTTATATGCGATGTCCTGATAAAGAAATCAAAGTATATGAACTTAGAAGACTTGAATGCTATACTTCTGGTTTAAGAAACTGATATATCATCTACTCTGTCATCTCAGATTACTTAAAAAGTTCTGTTTTGTTAAGACTATTATTTGCTTAGGTTCAATTTGCAACCCAAGTTAAAGAAGCATTTACAATCTAAAAATCCAGAAGAAGTAATTAAACTCAGATGTAGGCTGTTTTCATTGCTTAAATTATTTTTAAAACATAAGGTAACTTGACATTTTAAAGCAATTACAATTATTTTCCAAAGAAATGCTAGGGTGCTTCACATTCTGCCTGTAAAACGGCAATCATTTAAAGAGTATTTTATGTCATCAAATACAACTGTTGTGTGGTTTTTAAAGTCCTCTGATAAATGGTCCAAGAGGGAGGAGGAGGACAGAAAGAAAACCCAAAAAAGCTATTATATAAGAGAAGGAATTTAGAAAAACTGTTCTAACTGTTCCACCTGGGCCTTAAAGGGAAGAAAAAAAAGAAAAAACACCTTTGCTGGCTTCAGATACATTAATTTAAAAACAACAGGCGGGCATGGGTGGGGAGGATGCAATGAGAGAACAGGTAATTTTAAAAGGCATTGTCTAGAAACTAGAAATGAGGAGAAAACAACCTCAATGCTCTATGATTACCCAAGAACAGGTTTAGCCAGATGAACAAGTCTGCTACAAACCCTCCCCAAGGCATTTGAAAGACTATCAAACAAAACTTTATTAAACTGGATTACATGTTCTCATTCATTAGATGTTGAAGGCCACAATGTTTATGGTCAGGTGAAAAAGCTGATGCAAGGGACCCAAACCAGGCCTTCTTTTTGGTCTGTTTTTATTAGTACAAGCACTGTTAAGACAACCCACGATTAAATGTATCTGCCAGCAGGTCAAGTTCCTGAATCGCAGGTATAAGCATTCAGGGCACTAAACCCTGACAGGGGGTGAAAGGCTATTCAGATATGGGTTTGACTACATCCCTGCAATAAGTAGTTGATTACATCGTTATATGCAATTGTGCTCTTTTATGAGGAGACTTTAACCCCATGAAAATGTGTTCCCTCCTATCTCTCATTTCAAGGACTTCCAAGAGAAGAAAACAACAGCTCAAATGTCTTCATATTTCCCTTTATATTCTGTAAAAGGACATTTTGGGGTATTACTATATGGAATATTTTACTGGCACTTGTCATTTGTATCTTGAAAACTTTAAGTTGGAGTTTTTATAACATGCTTAATTCATTTGTGTTTAACTATAAAAATTTCTACCTTGGGCTGCTTGTGAAGGATCCTTCCTCTTATGTAATCAGTTTGTCTCTATGCAAAAACCTCAGGCCAAAACAGCCTGCTCATTTCATAGATAAATACAAAAGATGTCTTTTCCTTAAAAGCAGTTTCTCAGAAAGCCTGGAATCTACTACACTGTCATCAGATTTTAATAAGTAGTGTTTATCACTGGGATATCAAGCAATGCTTCCTAACATGCATACAAAATGTCTGCAACCATATTCCTCTTAGGGCTCTATCTCAGCACTGACCTTTGTTCAAAGGCTTTTACTTTTTAATGCAGCAGTTAGAGATAACTACTTCATTTATCAAAACTCAATTTCCATAGTAACATCTAGCCTGGGGAGATTCAAGTCCTCACACTAATCCAACAACCCATTCAAAGGAACTGTTGAATACTTTGGTTTCCATAGCAATGATGGAATAATACATTTTGCTAGGTCATTGCTTTTATTAGCAAACTTATTCTTTGAACTTTAGGTAAGGCTGTATTTATTGAGGGAAAAAAACAATCACTTTATGTAAGTTCTTTCCTTTAGGGCTGCTCTTTCAAGAAAATTGCAATTAGTAACCATCTATATATTTGAAAATATTTGGAGTATTTGGGGGCCTTTAAGGTATGCCACCTGGTTTCATCTTAAAATGGCTTCTGATATAATTTTAAAATTTTAAAGTTCTTAAAAGTGCTGATTGGGCGCAGTGGCTTCCACCTGTAATTCCAGCACTTTGGGAGGCCAAGGCAGAGGTCAGGAGTTTGAGACCAGCCTGGCCAACATGGTGAAACCCCATCTCTACTAGAAATACAAAAATCAGCTGGGCGTGGTGGGGGGGGCCTGTAATCCCAGCTACTCAGGAGGCTGAGGCAGGAGAATCGCTTGAACGTGGGAGGCAGGGGTTGCAGTGAGCTGAGATCACAACACTGCACTACAGCCTGGCGACAGAGCAACACTCAGTGTCAAAAAAAAGTGACTGCAAATACAAAAGTAGAGTGGCTAAATTTAAAAGCACAAGTAAACAACAATGAAATGTAAGCTAGAATAAAGATGAAGTCTCTCATACATACCAAGTTTGGGCTGGGGCTTCTAAACCATTTCTGACCACCTGATTTTAACACTGCAATTTCAGCCCTACCTTTCATCAAGCACAGAAAACATACTAAACACAGATATTTTAACCTATAGGTGAAACTAAAGATAATGTTTTCACCAATTATGCTGTACACGCTCAATGGGAAAGTTTTTAAGAGTTTAAAATGGCTTTCTCAGAGCAAAATTATGTGCTATGGAAGAAAATGAGTTTTTTTTTTTCTTCAAAACACTGCCATTACAAGTTTTAAAATCCATTAGTAAACATCGTTGTTTACGTTTTTGGGTAATCAATTCTATGAGCGGTGACAGGGCAAGAAGGCCTTAGTGAGGGAACATCACCGGCCTTCCTGGAACCAGATTTCTCATGGAACTGAATTCTGAGCCAAGCCCGTGCTGAAAAGGTAGGCTATTTATTTAAAAAAAAAAAAAAAAAAAAAAAGTTGACAGAAGAAGAGATCAAACACGTGTTAGCTTTTAAAAGGATGAATACCACTTACACTATTTACACAACTCACAGAATTAACAAGAAAATTACATACCAGTGTGAGTCCTCAGGTGAGCTTTTAAATGAGAAGACTTTGTATAAACTTTTGTGCAACCTAAAATAAAGGAGAACAGCACGTCACTTTGGAGGTCCTTTTGAAATCTTTACATTTGATGATTCAGTGTTTAAAATCTGGCTTTAAAGAAGAAATCTCTCATGCTAGATGAGATTATCTGAAGCTTCAGATTTAAAAGTTTTTTAAAGAGTCCTCCCCCATTACCCTGTTAAAGGCATAAAGTGATTTGTTTTCTGTATCACTTTAACAGGAAAGAATGCAGATAATCAAGCCAAACTACAAATGGAAAATTTGTGTTTATATTCCAGTAGGTGCTGCACTTCCGTAATTTAAGAGTTACTATATGTTTTTTGGAAAATTTTAATGGCTCTAGAGCTGACAATGCTAAGCCATTATCCAAGATGACTGTAATTTTCTGTACTCCCACATTTGTTTTTTCATTTAGCACGTCATGCCATATCATGTATCAAAGTCAATAAATTTTGTCATGTATTAATCATAAACTAGCTTTCCCAGTAACTTGTAGATATATTCCATGTATTGTCTTCAATTTACACTTTGGGCCACGTATCTCATTCAAAACTGAGCATATGCTCACATGCCATCAAAACCATTCTTAAATCTATCCTGTAGACAGTCTTGTACCTACCATCACGCTAGATGCCTACAACCTCCACTTCACTACCAAACCTTATTTTCCCCTACCCTACTTTAATCTCTTTCTGGCGCACTTAATTTAGAATTAAAAACTGCAATTTATTCAATTGCCATTTTAAAGTCTCACTCACACTCTCTCACACACACACACACACACACACACACAACCTATTGATGCTTCAACCAGGTAAGAGCACATACCAGGGTAATCGCAGTAGTGGATGCGTCGCTTCTCCAAATCGGGATTACTCCTTCTATTGTATCTGACAGGTTGGATGTTTTGTGAGTTAACTGGCAGGGTGGTGGGTAAATTTGGATTGTGAATTGCCAGTTTAGAAGCAATTGTAGCAGCATAGGATGGAGGTGGGGTTAAATTCTGGAGCATCTCTGCTTGTCTATCTGGACTTCCAGGCTCTGAGCTTGGTGGTGACGGGGGAAAATAAGTGGCCTGTTGTGGAAGAAACTGACTTGGCATTGTGTATGTGCAAGGGGGCATGCCCTGGAATTGTTTCACTGCAGTCTGCGGAACAGCAGAGGTGTGTGTGTTAAGGCCTGCCATGGCAGCTGACATAGAAACATTAAGAGTGTCCATTGCTGCTGTCTGGTTTGTAGAACTGGGCATATCTAGATCCGGTGTATTCAGTAGCTGGTACAGGTGGCCCTGCTGGGGAGGGACAGAAAGATGAAGATCTGGTGTAGGAAGTTCTTGTTTGATGAAAATATTGTTCACCTCTGGAGCTGCGGTCTGGTGTGAGCTGAATATACTGGTGAACTCAGGGAGGGCCTGGGTCGGGGCCGGAGGAGGGGCAGTCGTTTCACTCTGGTGGCTGAAAATGGCAACAGGTTCTGTCTTGATGTGTGTTACGCACGGTCTCTGGGATTTGTAGAGGCCAGTTCTCAGGTGAGTGATGTCAGGGAGGAAGACGTTCATGTTGATACTGTAAGGTAACCCTTCAGTGTCAGTGAAGAACTGGTCTACGACTGAGGCACTGTCTCGTCTATACTTTTTATGCTCTGGAATTATAGGAACTGGAGGAAGCTGAGGTGTCAGATACTTCTCCATTTCACATCTTGTCTAAAAAAGAAGAGATACAAACATGCATAATCCACCTGATTCACCACCTCGGGAAGGACAAACAATCGGCGCCTACTAAAAATTCCCCCAATCCCTGTATAAGGTACTCGGGCAAACTCCTCAGTGTTGCTTATAAACATATCAGGCTTATTTTGTCGATTGTGTAATAATTGGTTGACCAAAACCTTATGAAACTGTGTAACTGGTAAAACTGCTCCCCCAATCACCCCCAAAAGTGAAAGACGCAAATCAAGAAAAAAAAAGAAAGCAAACTGAAAACATTCCTTTCTGATGCAATAACAAGGTATCACCCCTGTACAAGCAGGATTCCCTGCCCCATTACACAGTTAAATTTGCAATTAGAGTACACTATTGAAATGTTGCCAAACTACCTCAATTCTGTTTAAGTCATAAACATTAAAAAGCGTGTTTTTTGTTTTGTTTTGTTTTTTTACAGAAAAAACTATGCAAACCTTTAAAATATTGCAAAGGTTTCTTTGGCTAGACACTTCAAAAGTAATATAAAAATTATTCTTTGGCTACTTCTGTGTCTTTTCTTGTTTACAGTTCAATGAGAAATACAATGTTCTAAGCAAAACCTTGTATCCACTGAAACAAAACAATTTCACATTCAATATTTGACCTAAATGTTGATTTTAATCAGCAGATCCTGTAATTGGTTAATATGATAATGAAATGTTCCTATTCATACCCCTATCTAAAACAGATCTTTAATTACCTAGGGGAAAATCACTCCCTTGCTAGAGTGCTGCTAAGGAGCCCGTGGGTGGGGAGGCTGCTGTATCCCTAGCACAGTCATCAGCAAAACATTTATCATGTCCTCCTCAGTGGGCCAATGCTACATTCCCCCCTACTCTGTAAAAAGCTCAGTCATCCCTTATCTTCTTGTGCCTCCAGAGCAGAAAATTGACAAACTGAAATAACCAAATACTTTTCAAACGATGATCTCTTTTCTAGGCTTTTAAATCAGCTTGTAACAAGTCGCCTCAAGCTTTTTCCAGCTATCTTCTCTCCTAGTATAACTTAACCCTACATTTTTTAACACTGAAAAAGGAAATTTCGAAAGATAAGAAAACCAACTAGATGGAATGGCGCATAGAACTATTAGCTTGGCACCTTAATCGGTAAATAAGACAGTCATTTTCTGCTACTACTTCATTTCAAATGCGTTTCATCTCGGACCTTGGTGTGGATCCGGACGGGGTTTCCCGGATAGACACGATTTAAAAATAAAAATTAACGCTCACGTCATGTGAGTCACATCTCTGACAAATGCCACTGCCCTCTCACAGCAGGACCCTGACAGACCCCACGGAGTAGGCGCTGGGTAGCAAATATGCGATACGCCAAAGGGCTACTAAATGAAGTGTCTTGAAATAAACTGAACTAAACCCTTTCGTGCACTGCGCTCCCGCGGCGGTTAGTGGTTTCTGATTTTAGCTCTTCCAGCTGTTTGCATGTGGGTATGTTTCCAATTTTTTTTTCCTTGGGACAGGCTAAAAGTCCCGGGAAGTTTTTTTCTGGGCTATATGACTCCCTGCGTGGGCGAAAGAAACAGGCGGTTGCTCTAATTCGGCTGCTGGGCAAGTGTAAAAGCCAACTGCCAGCTTTCAACGCGGCTCCAGGAGGAAATTTACGCGCACACGAAGAAA